ACACACACACACACACACACACACACACACACACACACATACATACATATATATGTAACACTTTTTTTCAAGTACAATCTTTGGAAATTTCAAACCATCTGACATCTAATCATAGTGAATAAAATAATCCTTTCTTTTTTCATTGGTCTGTTCTTTTTTTTTCTTTTTTTTTATTCAGCAGGAGGAAATCACGTATATTATTTAACTTCCTGTCAACTTCCTATAAACAATACTGAGTTCAACCTTTCTGGGTACTAGTTTATTTGACTTAACTGAGTTGATGTTAATTTACATTGTAGTCATCAGATTATTTTAATATAAAAATATGTTGTTGAATAGAAAATAGGTTTATATTTCTTATTATGATACACAAGGTGTTCTTTACAAAATACAGAATATCACTTAAACATCTAAACAATGAAAACAGTAAACTAAAAATAACGAATTTTGTAACCCCCATTATTAATAAAACTTTGGTTTTAATTAAGACCAAGTGCTGTTACTAAAAAGTTGAAAAGTAAACTAATTATTCAATATTAACAGTCTTAGAGATCACCACAGAAATTAAAACTTGTCATGGAGCAGTAACTTATCAAATAATAATTGGCTTTTACTATTACCTTGCATCTGAAGCAAAAAAATATTCTACTTCTTTATCCTCCCCAAGAGGACAGAACTGTGTTGTATCTGATCGTTTGATGTTGGAAGAAAGGGTTGAAGGCTGTCGGGGTCGGTGTTCTAGCCAAGGTGAATAAAAAGTACCAATAAAAAGATACAAGAATTCAATTCTGATTATTCCATCTTCTTTTTTACCATATACTCCTGCATCTCTATATCAACAAATTCATTATTTTAGGTAGCAGTGACTAAACTATATCCATGTAGCAAATCTCTAACAATTTTATAAACGTCAATGGTGATATAAGGCAGTTGACACTTAAAGGTATGAACATGCTATCAAGTAGAAATTGAAGCCCCAATGTGTACTGGGTGACCTACAGATATTTGCAGAAAAGGAAAACTAGCACTTCAGAAACTGAAAAGGTATTACCATCAGCTAATATTTTTTTGCTATTTAATGCCACATGAACAGCTGGGACAAACTATACCAAAATATTTTTACCTGTAAAAGTTACTGATTTGAAATATCAGCTAAGGGTTAACACATTTTAATTGCATAAAAAAATTAAAAATAAACAAAGGAATTTAATTCTGAGCATTACATGCATAAGGTCTTTAATTGTAAAATATATAAGTTAGGAAATATGATGGCTTTTACCTTAATTTAGTTGAGTTTATAAAGACTCAAAGCAAAGCCTGGCACAGAAACTATGTGTGTATTAAAATGCCTAGTGCTCTAACTTTTGTGAATCTGAAACTTACATACTAAATCTAAAGTTGCTTTAAATGCAACATTTAAAATAGTGATGATAGGCCTAATCTAGGATTAGAGACATTAAATTTCACATGGCCAACCTCCTGCTAGCTTTTTTATGTGGGTTTTACTCTCACACAAGACAGTTATACAACAGATGAGCGAGACAAGAATTTTAAACTATGACCCCAAAAACAAGCTGAGCAAAAAAACACATACAGAAACAATAAATACTCCAGAGATTTAACACGAAGGAAAAAGTAAATATTTTATACAATACATACACAATTTGGAATGAAAATAAAATTTCGTAACATTTCTTCTGTCTTCTAACTATTATAAATCTAAATTTAAATACGTAAAGTACAGTATTAAAACAAGAATAACTTTCTATCCTCCATTTGCCTCGCTCAAATGTGGTTAATTGTAAGGTTGTCTGAGCACACTGTTACTTTATTTTTCCTCTTTGTTTTAACATAGCTTACCCATGCTCTTACACTTGCATGCACTGCCTGATTCATGTATCAGTCTTCATAAATATTTCTTGGCTCAACTTATGGCTGCTCAAGCAGATTAAATGTTTGTGAATCAAGCCATAGCCAGACATTTTACTCAATCAACTCTAATTTATACCACTGAAATAAAATGATGCCACTAATTTTAGTAGTCAAAGCCAACAGCAAATATTGGTATTCCAAAAAATCCAGACAGGTTCTGATATAACACAATGCATGACAGATATATTAAGAATCCCAGACTGTTAGTCCTAGTAAATACCTACTAGAAATTAGTAGTTAAAAATATATACATGACATTTGTAGTGAAATGTGTTTTACATAAGTAGTTACTTCTTGCATCCATTCCTAAGTAGCAAATTTTCATAATTCTTAATAATACTGAAAACTCTTCATAATTCCACCTTCTCCCTCACAAGACAATGAGTACTGCTGTGGTTTAGTAAACTTTAAAGTCCACCTACAGGCAGTTAAGTGTCCTTCATGTACACTGCAAATTATTCCATTGTTTCCTATATCACATAAACCCAATCAAATATTGACTGCTTCACTAAGAGTGTGACAAATGAAAGATAAACATACAAGAGTTTAATATAAAAAAAATTATTTATTAACAATCTATTATGCTTAAACCTCCATACTTAACAGGTGTAATTTATATAAAAAAATATGACAAAGAAGATTTTAACTAAAAATGAGAAAACCACTAAAGCTACACCACAGTAGAAAACATCCTCACTTACCATAAAATATAACCTTCTGACAAGCCTAATTTAAACTTACAAAGATTATAAAATCTCTGATGCAGGAAAAAATAAGTTCAGCTATGGGACACATTTTTGAGTATCATGTTGCCATCACTTCAAATGGCATTCTTTTAGCTATTTTTTTTGTTTTGGATTTCATACTTTTAGCCTCAGTGGAATGCTTCTTTAATGTTCATTACTGTCATACGTCTTCTTCTTCTTCTTTTTGTTGTTGTTGTTCAGAAATACTGTCGTCCAAAAGTTTTCAAGGATAGCTGTCATTTTCTTTTGTGGGTTTTGCTGTTGTTGTTTAAGGCACCACGTATCTTTTTTTTTTTTATATTATTTTTGACCAATGGTTTTGAGAATATTCAGCCAAACACCCACCCTATTATTTTGATGTCTGATTTGTGTTTTTCATCACTGTCTCTAGTAAGGTCACAGGGCTTGAAATGGTGTTGAATTCCCTAAAAACCTAAGATTCAAACAAAAGAAATAAGCAAAACAATCTAAGAATACACATTAAAGTAATGAGACAACCCATAAAGAACACCATGCTCTTTGAAGAGAAAGTAGAAATTGAAAGTAGTGCATATCAAGAAAATATTGGAACGTGTCTTATATCTGTATCAAAATATTTTCCAATAAACCTCATTAAACCTATGGAGTTTAACTTTAACAAGAGAGAAAAAGATACCTAGTATCCAACATGATATTATGAATTAGTGGACAATGGTCTATTAACAACTATTTGTGAAGCTACAGCCAGCACTTCAAAGAGCTATTCATCACACACAAGCAAAATTGGGTCAGTAACAGTTAAGGCTTTTCTTAATTAGAAATCAATTCAAGAGTAACACAATACAAAAATACCCTATCAAAAGTAATCAATATCTCTTGTGTAATGATAGTACTGGTCCTCCCAGAAAGCAGAACTTTAAAGTGCTGTTTAGAACTGGTGAAGTGTCCATACCATTTGAGTTAATGTCATTTGATAGTCATTGTAGGTTTTGTGCATGAAGTCAGTACATGTGATAAGTGCCATGACTGGCTCTACCAGATACATGTGCATGAAGTAATCAGAAAATGTGAAGGTGAAAGTACTACTACAATTAAATAACAGCCAGGAAGATCACCAGTGATATCAGAATGGAACAAATAAGCATTTGTACAAGCAGTCAAAAAACAGTGCAAGGCCAGTCTTCCAGAAAAACCACACATTTGAGGGCAGCTTAACCATGACCTATGACTACATACCATTACAGCACATAGTGCCACAAGCCAGTGTAATGTATAATTTAATATTTGCTTATTATGTAATAGATAATTATCTTAGGTTTCATAACTGTGTAGAAAGTATTTTTAGCAACTGCCTCATGTTGTTCTTTGGTAAATCTACAACTACTCTGTTTACTACATGATCCCTTGAATTACATTAATAGTTCTTAAAAAAGTAGTAATTTTAAGAAATATGAAGACAAAATATAGCTTACACATCAAATAAGAAAAACTATGTAGCTTAAGGTACTAAAGCATAGTAGGGTAATGAATGAACTTGTAATTTAAACTGGTGGCTACTTGTTTGGTATGAAACAAACAAAAAAAGGACCTTTTAACTTTTAATAACAAGCCTTAAAGATTAATATTTTCTACATTTTCATACTCAACAAAAACTGCAGTCAACTACATTCTTTTAAATAAGCCAAGCCATTATAGTTATTAAATCATCATGCAAATTAACATGTCTTTAGTTTTTATATAAGTTTGTTCACACTTTTTGTATAAAATTTTGAACTGCACTTTTGAAAACATTTTTTTTTCTTTTTGTCTCCTACATTATGTAATATTAACTAGCAGTCGTCCTTATTACAGAAAGCCTGATGGCATATTCTCTTTGATATGAATGTATATGATTACTGCACACAGAACTTTAAATAGCCAATTACTTAAATGTGAGCTTTTTAATCTTCATTAACCTTCACCTACTACCCAGTATATCTTAAGAGAATTAAGTCATATTCTGAATATGGAATTATGCTGAAAGAAGTTTGTTCTTTTTCTTCCTGTACAACTTTATATTTTTGAGTTGTTTTATACTTTCATTTTGCTGGAGGTCTTGCAGTGATATAGTTGAGTTTGATGGGCATCAATGCCAAACAAAGATGGAATTGCTTCAAACTGTTCAAGCAGTACTAACGGTTGAACTTAATGTTAGTTTGGGAAGTTGACCAAAGCTACACAAAGGCTAGTACATATAGTACATAATTTTGAACTGATACACTGCAGACAAAACAGAGTATCAACAACAGTACTTAATCCTTAGGATACTTCAATCAAATAGTGTGATTTGTCCATCATTCTTATAATACACCCATCGCCTCAAAGTGCAAAGTATGTTTTTGTGAAAACAGGACTTGAACCTTTGACTCTCAGATTTGTAGTCTGTGATGCTAACCACTAGGACTCAGTCAAACTTCATATTAAAGGCAATTAACTCACTTCATTTGAAGCTTAAGAGTGTTGATTTTTTTAGTTATGATATAACATCCCTTTCTCGAGCTCTTTTGGATAGATAGAACTACTTTTAAAATGGTATTTCACCAAAAGAATGCTAAAATACATATTAAATAAATAATTACTTCCTCCAAGATGATGATACGTTTCTATACAAACTATATCAGATTTGTTATGAAGGTCTCAGTTATTGATCTTCTTTTGATAGATATAATATGGAAGTAATTTGGACACCCAAAATCACAAGTGCCATTTTTTATAGTTACACCTTTGTTGAAAAAATTACTTTGTAAAACCAGTGAGATGGAAAATTTTTTTATTCAACGCAAAACAGTAAAATACCAATGTTCTAATTATGAAAAATACAGAAATGTTGCTCTTTTCGTTGTATGTGGAGAGGGAGGGAATTGGGAAGCAGTACACACAACTTTAATATTCTATTCTTTAATGACAAGTCTTTTAAGGTACTATCTGAAGCATGATGAGTAATGAATTTGTAAAAAAAACATGTATTAATCAGCTATTAATGAAACAAACCAAACTTTTTCAATGTTTCACTGCATATAATGATTTCAGTTATTGAATGCCTTTTTTACTATACATACATATTTATATATTAAAAATTCATTGCTTCTATTTTCTTAATGCAGAGGAACTTTATGAAGTAATATTCTTTCAAAAAGGCAGCAATATGAAATTTCAACTAAAATCACAATTTCTCAGTCGAGATTAGTGCAACTATTTTGGTCAAATATGTTGTAACATGAAACAAGGCATTCCAATCATACTAGTGTTCCGAAGTGTACTATAGAGGATGACAATAAATTTTAACAAAAAATGTGAACAAGCCTTCATATTCTAATGATTTGTAAGCACAAATAGTAATCTTACTGCAAGCTATAGTATCAATCCCTCAAAAAATTAAAATATCTACTTCTTTCAAAGTTTACAAACAAAGGCAAACAAACAGAAAAAAAACAACATATAAGTGTACAATATACCTGACTTAGTCCTCTTGTCTGTATCTGTAAAAGGCGAGACAAGGTCGTGGTGCATCATATGAAGTGCATAATGAGGTGCATGCAGAAAAATGAAAAATTAGAAACTGAAGTTAGAAGACTGTAAACTTTGTTCAAAAAATAAGCATGGTGGAAAATGATTGCAGCAGATCTCAACAATCTAACACACACCAGGATAGGTCTCAATGTGAGAAATAGTATCTTGCACAATGAAACAATGTTCCCATAAAATTTCAAGTTATGTCACTTTTTACAAATTAAGCTAAAGAACAAGATGAAATTCAAAGTGGATTTAGGCAGTCTGTTCAATATGTGAACTGTTTCCTATGGACTTCTCAGACCTATTTCCTTTCTTTTCAGACAATGTTTTGGTCTTCATGTCAAGTTCTTCATCAGTTATAAGTCCAAAACATCATCACTAAATCCAGAAGTCTATAGTAAATGCTGCATATATGATGAAATTTACTTTAAAGACATTTTTAAACAAACAGAACAATGTAATAAAATATATGCAACTATGACTTTCTTGTCATTTTCTCCTTGAATAACAAGTTATATTTTTTAATCACTATATTCTAGTTATGAACAGTATTTGTTTTACTGTTAATCCTTTTCAAGAAAATACATTTTAAATCAGAGATCAAACTCAAGAACAAAATTACGTACCAGACCAAACACCTTTCAGATACAAGTCAGAACCTACACTGCCTGTCCACTTCAATAGAAAACCCCGGCCATACAATCACACTCTTCTACATGTGGTGATACAAACAATCAGAGGAACTATAAACACTAATGGTTACAGTAATATTTAATTCATTCATGCTTATAATGAGTGGAAGCAAAGTTCTGTTAAGAGTTCCATACAAGCATAACTGTTAAAACACAGTTAACAAGTGTTTCAACATCCAAGGCTGTTCAGTTGAATGACATTTAGATGACTAATATGCTCAAAACATATCGGAATTGTTTGCTGAGCAAGAAAAAGTTTATCTATAGGGACAAATGCAGACAAAATAAACTAACATTGGACAGTGACTAATAGATCTTGAAACGTTTTAGGTGTCAGACTGTAAAACAAGTGATGGATTCTTTTAATATTGAGTGTACTTCATCCATAACTTTCAACATACTAAGGAAATTCCTTACCCATGATGCATGGCAGCTGTTGACTATTATGCCAACATCTAATATTACAGCACAACAGGATAATACAATTGCAGCTCGTCTCCAGGAGAGATAAAAGTGGGCTACTAGTAACTGGAAAAATATCATACACATTCATACTGCTTAACATGAATGGGAAGGCTATGGTATGGAGCTTCATGAAACACTTGATCCAAATTGTATGGTACCCACATTTCAGGTAGCAGATGGAAATGTGATGGCATGGGAAATATTTTAGTAGCATGGCTTTGATTCCCTAGTTCTCCCAGAAGGTTGAGTGCATCATAGTCAATCACATTCATGCCATTATGCTACATATGTAACTTGATGGTGATGGAGACTCTTCCAGGACAAAAATACAACAATTCATCATGCTTGACTAGTCAAGGACTGGTCTCTCAAGCATGATACCAACTTTGGGTATATTTCAGATATAACAGATATGAGTTTAGCTTGAACCTCTGATTCAAGATCAACATTCCCTTCTGATAATGAGTCAATTGCAGGCTGCATTGATAAACACCTGGTCATCTATTACTCTGGATACATTTCAGCATTTTGTCATATCTATGCCATCCAGAATAAAAGCTGTTATCATAACCAAAAGAGAGCCAACCAGATATTAAAGGGTACTCTTGATAAAGTGGCCAGGCAGGGTATTTACTGATTTTGCACACTAATAAAGCAAATGCCTTAAAATGTTTTACACTTTTCATTAAAGACGTATTAGTAAGTTAATAAAACATGCATATGCAGGACACAAAACAGAAACTTCAAAAAAATCAGTAAAGCATACAGCTCATTGTACATCTGGTTAAAACTATAATTTATCCAAGTAGTATATTTAACAAACATGCACGCACAAAGGTTTTTCCATGCAAACTGAAAACAAAATATCTGATAACTCGTATTCAATTCTAAAAAACTAATTCCTTTTAGTTACCAGTTTGTTTGTGCTTTTTATAATCAATAATTTCTATAGCATATCTATATTTGATTATTGGCTCAAATCTTAAATATTAAAAATGAAAACTAGAGGCAGCCTTGGTATCATTCAACTTTGTAATGGTAAAAACCATGCTTCCTCTTTCTCAAGTACAAACAACATTGTTTGTGATGACAAACTGAGTATGCTTCATATTCCTCTACTCATATATATATATATATATATATATATATATATATATATATAT